TTCTCTCAAAGCTGCTGTTACCCTTGTGATTATTGTATCAGTGAATGGTACTACCCTCCATCCTGTTGCTCAACTACAACACCCAGGAGTCACTCCTGAATCCTGTCTGTTCCTTCTACCACATGCAATTTATTTCAAAGTCCTCACAGTATTTCCTCACAGATTTCTCCCTTTTGTTCCATTTCAGAGCTCCTGGCCTAGCAGAGCACAAGCATTCCTCATCTCTTCAGAACTTTCCTTACCTTCTACTCTAGGCCCCTGCAGTTCATTTGAAGAATGATAGATTATTGATCATGACATAACCATACTTAAAATCCCTCAAGTTAAAACTTGACTCCTGATACCTTCAAAAAAATCATGACCTTCATCTTCTGGTTTACTCTTTCCTTCTCTTACACATAAGGATATAGCCATGTTCATCTTCATTCCCATACACGTTCTACATGAACTTTGGTTCAACCTCTGGGATTTCACATAATGGGGTGGATGATACTCCCACTAAGCTGCCTAACTTCCACTTAATTTCAATTTAGATATCACTTCCTCAGAGGGTATCCGAGATCTCCATCACCCTCCCAGATTAGATGGCCCTCTTGTACTCCTATCACAATTCACATACATATATATATATATTTTACAATTCATACATATTATATAACTGTGCTTTCTTTAAGAATACACTTATGAGGATATGAGCTATTTATATTTTGTTTATATTACCAAGTTTGGTACAATGCCTGGCACTCTATTTAATTATCTGGATATAGAAATTAAACTGAATCATCTTTATTTTCATCTATTCTTGTCTTTGTAATCTGGGAGCACTTATGAGCTTTGTCTTCTATTGATTCAAATTCCTGCTTTGCATCTCTGGTATTTATCAAGTTTGATGCATCTAATTTTGTTCCTCTTTTTCAGCTGCATGTCATTTTTATTTTTCCTCATTTCTGCCCATTCCATTTTCATGAATTACACAACTTTTTAGCTAAAAACTCAAGCACATTCTAATAACCTGTCATAGCAATAAATTTATTTTAGAGCAAAGTAAGTATCAGAATTGTCAGGACACTGGGTTTTTTTTGTTTGGTTTTGGGGTGTGTGTGTGTGTGCCTGTGTGCGGCACACACACGTGAGTATGCTGTATTGTTATTCCTAAATCCTACAATTGTCTGGCTGTATCTGAATCCTTCATAAAAAAATTAAGGATGTAAGGCAATAGAAGAAGAGGTGAAAAGGCAGCATTCATAACAGAAAGGACAAACCTTTTTTGCCACTATCCATTGCAGATACAAGCAAACCTTTCTGATACCAAAAAAAGTAGCAACAACGTATCACATGCAAGATTTCTACCAGTGTGTCTTCTATTTAAAAGTGTGACCAAATTAAAATTGAATGGATATTGGAAAAAAAAAAAAGTAGTGATCAAAACAAATACCACTTTTGGCATTCTCTAAGAAATAAATGATTCTTGGGTGGTAGAACTAAGGAAACACTACATTCCAATGTTCTAAAAAATATATATTCAGAATGCTGCCTGCTGCAGAGTAGAAAGGGAATGGTTATACATAATTCATTTAAAGTTTAGAATATAACCACTACCTGCCCTATTTTACTTTAATTGAATAGACAATGTTCTTAAGTTTTTCAGGCCTTCCTTTATTCTTCTAAGGGTAATGTAGTGTGCGTGCACATGTGTATATGTGTGGTGGGTGTATGGAAGGTTTTTTCACTATGCATTCATACTGCTACTTTGGCCACAATTTTTATGCACTAATTGTGTTACTGTTACTAAACGAGGCCAGGAATGCATTGCCCCAATTCTGCCCTTATTGATGGCAGCAAATAATTAAGTTGTCTGTTAGTAATGAAGAAGGAACAGGAGGACCAGGGAGAGGTGATCTTTAAGTACTACATTAAAGCTACAGGACATTAGCATAAATCTTTCAATATTGATAATGCATACATAAAAGCAAATATAGGTATATCTCACAGTTAAGGAATAAGTCTTTAGTAGGTTCCAAAAAATACTAGTTTTCCTATATAGGAGAATTAACCACTATGCATAATTTAAAGTTACTACATCAAACACATGGCTCTTTTGCAAAACATCATAGGAACTGAAAGAGTTCTTATTTTCAAATAAACACAAAATAAACCAATTAATTCTGAATAAGTAGTAACAACTTTATTTTAACTCAACGTGCTGAAATGCAAAAAATATTTTCAGCAACAAGATACAAAAAGTATGTATCTCATCATTAACATCAGCTGATTAAAAATGAGGCTGAAAAGTTCATATAAGTCTTTACACATCTGAATCTTGAAAATCAATTTCCCCCAGAATTAATTTTTAAATAATTTTAGCAGAATTTTATTTTCAAAAATGGGACTCACTTAAGTTATATCTTCATTCTAAAAAACTGGATGTGAAATTAACTGGGTTACAGTATACAACGATAAACTCTAACAAACAGAAAAAGGTTTAAATATAAAAATTCCTTTTTAAACATAAAGTCCACATACTGCAAACAGAAGACACGGTGTGGTGATTTCATTCCTAGTGAAGAGGAGTCTTGCATATGATAGGCACTCAATATTTATTCAACTAGACCTAAAATTGACATCATCCCATGAACACTTAAAGTAGAGCTCATAATTTGTATAAAAGAGGTTTACAAAAAAAAAAAATACTCTTATGTGCTGAAAGTGCTGTTTTTATAATCTGAAAACAGTAAAGCCCACTCATCCACCTCCTTTTGCAAGAATACACTGAATATTTTTATTTTATCCATCAAAGAGCAAGAATGTCCATGTCAGAATAATTCATCTTTCAAATACCTTGCTAGGAAGAAAGCTTGTTGAGTTGGATTTTAACAAAACAATTTACTGAAGTCTCTAGTGTTCTAATTTAGTAACACTGGGCAGCATGTATGAGCCACATTTTTATAAAAACTTTTACTTAGGTTTTACATTTATGCACAAAACTTAAATGGGTAAATAAATCAGTAATTATGCTTTTGGCAATTTAAATTCTAACTTAGGTCTAGTTTAAAAATAAGCTAATAATGTTCATGACAAGATTTTAAGATATCTTTGTGAATATTTTAAAACTTAACTTTAAACTTGATGTCCTAAAAAGGCACTGTTTTCACATTTCATCATGCAGTAAATGGTCACATTTTTGAAAATTGTAATTTCCTATCAACTGCCCCCAAAATAAAGCTCATTTAATGAAATATTTCAACTAACCTGAATTTTCAACATTTAACTGAGTCCTATTTTCAGAAATTCACTCTTCTGAACATACCACACGCAAGTCCAAGCAGACACAAGTACGTGTACACGTGTACACACACACACACACACACACACACACACCCAGATGACATAATACATGCATGGTTCTCCAATTACTATTTCAAGACAATGACACATGAATATTCAAGGAGGTAACAATGGCAAGCCATAACATTATGGCACCTTCATATTTGTGCTCTAAATACCAATGTATGTTAAAATTTAAAAACGAAAAAGGCACAAATACAGTATTTCTGTATCTCAAGCTAATGAACAGCTCTCCAATGGTTACTTTGATAACATGTAACAACATTTAAAACCAGTCACTACTTTTCTAAGGAAAAGCTCTGTTTAGGTGACAAAAGGGGAACAAGAGCAGGCTAATAAAAGGCAAAATTGTTCAGGACAGACAGATTCTGTCCCTACTGAAAACAATGTGTGTAGTTTCAAAATGAAAAAAATAAAAAGGCTATTAGAGCACTCACATCAGAATACATTTTTTTTTCATTGCCTCAAGAACCCACAATACCAAAAAAAAAAATCTCCCATAATAAATAAAAAAAATAAGTCAACTAGGATATGATTCTGTTAGTATAATGGTAGGCATTATATAATCTGAAAAGTGGACATTTCTACAAACGTGTATCTCCTCACAGCACAGTGTTTGACGTTTTTGGTACAAAATGTGCTACCAAACTTAGAACAAAACCAAAAAACAACTTTATAATAAAAACCTTAAGATCTGCAATAAACACTAAATTAGGTAGGTAGGAGCAAGCTGCAGTGTTCATTATATGGGTGTTATTACTGAAGTCACTATCGTTAGAAATGTAGATATAAGCATTGAATTAATTCACAATGAGCCTGTGCGTATTTGATATAAATGGACACAACAGTACTTTTTTTTGAAAACAAGGTTCTACAGCCTGAGGCATTTTGTTTTAAGACCTTGAAAAAATATTAAAATCTTAACATGTATATGTATGTGTGTGTATAAAATTTGTACATTGTAAATTTAATGGATTCAATCTGGTTAAGGAAGCAAGGTTCTACTCCCTACAGTATTCTTACACAGGATGGAGTCCAATAACATGTAAGAATCCTTCTATCCCAAGGGATTTTTCCAATTTCAAATATAAGTTAACATAAGAAAGATTCCCATTAAACTACACAGAAAGAAATGAAGCTATCTGAAAATATGATCTTCTCAAACTACAGTTTGTTGTGGATTAACAAATGCTTATTTGACAGTGCTTGCTTAATGTAAGTATGAATCACTCTTTATATATTAAAATTGCTTCAGTGACTACCTAACAAAGAGATAACAAAAACGAAATCTATTTTAAAACCTCAGGCTTCATTTTTCTCCTTTTGTCCTAAATTCAAAAATTAAACAAACATATCATACAAATTTTAATCTGGGGAATAAAGTATGTACGTGAATATATAGGTATATGTGTTTTGTTTTGTTTTGTTTTTTTCCAGTGACACTTTTTCCCTTGTGGTCAAGTATAAATCTTGCCTAAGAAGCATACTGTCACTATCACAGAAAATCAGATGCAGTGACTTGCCACTGATCACTCCTACTTCTCTGGGATAACGCACCAGAACAGACTCCACTGTGAACAGAGCTATCCAAACACTGAACATGTGTATGTGTTTAAAGCTAAATTCATTTATAATAAAGAACTGGCCCATGAAAAGCAGTTTATAAATAGTTTATCCTGTTCACATTATGCAGAATTTCAATATCATCCACAATGTTATTACAGTAACTGAAACAGAAAGGAGAAAGCTAGGGGGGAAAAAAGGTTCAGAGTGTGGCCTGACATATTTCTAAGGGCTCTCTCCTTTAGTCTGCAAATAATATAAGTTCACTGTTTTCAGGAGGGGAGTAGAGTATCCAGGATTTGTTTATTCAGTTGCCTTCTCCAAAGTGTGATAAGACAGGAATAAATTCAATAATAAATATCTGAAATTTAAACCAATTTAACTATAATCAAGGCTATCATTCTTATCTATTATCACAAACATCCCAATTGCCTCCATTGGTCTTAAAAAATTCTTTCAAAAGTTAAGACACAATTAATTATACCTTATTAATACCCTCAAAAACAAAAAAAAAATATATGTACCATTTAGCATACAAAAGTTACACATTAAAAGTGCATTATATCTTTCTTAATTGGCCCACTCCTTAAATTTACATTTGGTCATCCTTACTTTCAACATGGACAGAATTCTTCATATAAATGTATGTCACTATAAATTAAAAAAATTAATTCAGCATAAAACATGCTTTCTTTTTATTGAAATCTTAACCTCAATCAATTCTCAATCATTGTAAACTTCAATAAATCCACAAAAAACACAAGCAAAAGTTTGTTATGCTTTTCTTAGTTTGTTGGACAGTCAACACATAGACAAACATCACAAATTTTACTAAAAATTTGGGCCAACTCATTGCATATTTGCCCCTTGAAATGAAAAATAAATTAGAATTGAAGCAGTGTATTGCCGTAACTTACCTTGAAGGTAAGCAGGTTCTCCTATATGTATAGAACTTAGACTGGAGACATTATCCATAATCTCCAATTCAAGTGCTTTTAAGAAGAACCTAGTTTTAAACTTTGAGACAGCACAGGACAAACCCTATAAAATTCATTTTGCTTTTTTCTCAAACTAATGGAAGATCCTTTTGAAACTTAATATCTTCAGTTATCAATATTACTGCATTATGGACCTAGTGCAATCCTGCATAGCCTTAGTCAAAATGACAAGGCACAATAAAAAAATTAAAGTATTATATGAACAAGAGAAGTCACTGAAGATAATTTAAGGCCTTGAAGTGAATTAGAGTATAATCAGTCTAATTTAAAGCTGAAGAATAAACCATAAATTATCCACCTGAAATGCAAGCAATATGCTTTTTCAGCTTCTGTTCTGTGGACAAGACAACAGAAACAACTCTTGCTTATGGTTTGTATATTAGAATCCTTCCGGACCTGGAGGAGTAAAAGTCAATTCCATTTTTCTACAGTTCGTGGAAGATTTCAGGACTGTTTTAGCCGTTTGCGTGGAATGCCAAACTGTGGACACTGTGCAGATGCTAGTGCTCGGAAGGCTTCTGCTACTAAATGAGGGTGAGACTGAATCATGGACTTCCACCCCGATGTTTCCATTATGTCTGCTGCTTGGCTGAAAAATAAAGTTATACTATGTTTATTAAAGAGTACTTTTCAAAACACATTATTATTATTTTTAAAACTTACAAATTTCAAAATGTTTTAAACACTTCATTTCTCTATGTCATCAGGCCCCATGCATTCATGAAAGTACCATCTTCACCTTACTGGTATTTTATGTTGCAACAGAAACTCTTAAATTCTTCTGGAAGTTCTATACTCTGGAACTATGTTACACTTTTCTCCATAGTCCTAACTCCCATTGTTACCATGTATCAGCTCTTTCAACAGCTCTTTTCCCTGGCTGTTACACACAGGTTTTCTCTAGAGTTCCAACTTTTGCCCTCTGCTCTTCTCCCTCTACTTCAATACTATCAACTCCTAATACTTAAGGTGTTTTTTCAATAATTCCTCAAAAAGGCTTTCTTCCCCTAGCTTAGATAAGGTTCTTCTGCTATATGCTTGGATGGGTATGTTATATAGTATCTATTGTTACACTTTATTTCAATTACTTGCCTAATTCCAATTTGCCTCCTGCTAAGCTATAAAGCCCATGAAGGCAGGGGAATATTCATCATCATGTTCACCACGATATTCTTTGTATAAGCACAGTGCCTAGGGTATTTACTGGATAGTAAATATAAATACCTGTTAAATGAATGATCACCTACTGCTTCATGCTTCTATACTTTGGATGGAGCTATCCTTTCTGTTCACAATGCCTGTTATTTCCTTCTTAGTTTTACTAATTCCTATTCATGTTTAAAGGCTCAGAAGTCATCTCCAGAAAGCCATCCCTAAACCATCCAACCTTTATCCAGTGCCCTGTATATATCTTCATCACATTACTTACCACATTATAATAACATATTCATGTACTTAGTTTTTATCAATAGATAAATTTCTCAAGAAAGGATTTTTCCTACTCATTTTTATATGAAACTCCTTAGCATGGTGCTTGAGACACAAGAGTACTAGGTAAATGTTTGTGGAACTAAACAGTAGCTAATAACAATAAAACAACTTTTTAAATTTGCCTGACATTGTATTACCTCTATGTCATTGTGTTTATAATTTTAACTAATTGTTCAGAATCACAAAGATACCTATCAATATACCTGGCATTTTCATTTATTTAATTCAACAAATATCTATTGAAAATCTGCATCTACAACAGCTTCTCCAGGGGATGTGAAATAAACTGGCATTTGTTGACAGTGGAAAAAAGTTGTTCAATGTCATATTTTCTTAACAGAATACAATTAGAACTTGAAAGTGGCTAAGTACAAAGGATCACAAAATTATCATTTACAGCTAATACATTATATTTTTGATTCAAATGTATTTTTTAGGATCAAATGCCATGATGATAATGTATTATCACACCAATCAATATACAGAACAGCCAATAACTTAAAAGTGCTCATAGATGAAAACAATGGGAAGTAATTAAATGGTCAACACTCATTTTATTGTTTCTAACACTGTCTTTTTTCACTTATATCAACTTTTGATAATATGTGAAAATGGAACTGAAGGGTTTACAGGTAAAAACTAATCAAAAGCAGGTACAAATTCTTTACACTATCAACTCTTCTTTGATTTTGAAAAATTATAAAACGTAGACAAATCATTCTAAAAATGAGAGAAGAAAACATAAGAAGGGAATAGTAAGTTCTAGTAGTTCATACTCAGAAGGCCCAGGCTTAGAAACATGTAACAACTATCACACCTCTTACAATTTTACCAGAGAAAGGAAAGACCAAATTGAACCAGGAGCTAGTCTAAAATACTGTATGATTCAAGTTACTTGGCTAACCTAAGAAGCAGTAGATGAGCATTCAAATGTAAAGACTTTCTAAGCAAATCTGGAGGAACACACCTTAGAGGATAAAATGAGTATTTCCTACATTTTTAGAAATGCTTTCTGAAGGGGCAGGGAAAAGATCGCCAATAGCCATTGAAATACCTGGACTCAGTTAAATACTATAAGCATATGTGCATAAGAAATTAAAATGTCGATCCCAGTTCACATTAGAAGCTGATCTACAAGGAAGCATAGCCTCAAGAATCCACTAAGTCAAATTATTAGTTTTTAAAATAACTGGCAGTTTACTTGATATAACTAATATCTGGATTCATACTTATGCAGATGAGCAAAAGGCTATGCAAACAGTTAATTTCATGTATGCAGATCAACTTTAAGTCAGAAACTGATGTCATCTTACTTGCTGTTCCAGTTTTTCCCATCTTTACACCCAAGCTGTCGAAGTACACTGCACCTGCATTGAAGATTTAAACACACTTAAAAAAAAGTCCGGTGAAAAAATGTTGAAGGTGTCACGCCCACTGAAATACAGGCATAGCTTACCTATTAATAAAGTCTATGGCTTGTGCTTTCAACTGTTCTGCACTGTGCAAATCTGCAAGGACAAGGGTATCAGCAACATTTTCTACTGAAAGGTTACTACACAAAGCTTCTTCACACATGACCTTCAGCCGTTCCAGTGCGTACTATCCAAAAGGAAAACATAACAATTAAACATTTACTCAAACTACCAAGTTTTAAACACTCGGTATTTGTAATTTAGAGAACACTTGGCATCTGTAAACTAGAAAATAAAGTTAAAGCACATTATACTCTGAACTGAGAATTAAGAAAAAGTCTTTTATTTTTAAAAAGATTATTTATTTATTTATGAGACAGAGAGAGAAAGTGCGTGCACGCGTGAGTGCGCATGAGTGGGGGGTGGGGACAGAGGGAGAAGCAGACTCCCCACCGAGCAGAGAGGCTGATATGGGTCTGGACCCTAGGGGACTGTGGGATAATGACCTGAGCCTAAGGCCAATGCTTAACGGACTGAGCCACGCAGGTGCCCCTATGACTGAGAATAAAAAAAAAAAAAAACCTCAAAGTTATTTTAACCTAATATTAAGAAGATGCTCTTGAATGACTATTAAGAAGATTAATATTAAGAAGATTCTCTTGAATGACTCAAGAGAAAGACTAATTTTCTTTAGGAAATTTCAATTTATGCAAAATACATACTGTCAATTTTTAAAACAGTTTTATTCCTTTAAAAAAAATCTTTCTTCCTCAATAGTCTTAATGAGTGAATTTCTCTTCTCCATTTTAAACGCCAAAGTGTACCAGGAGGTACATGTATGTTGCCACTGTTCAATCTTGAAGAATGAATTATAAAGCTGAAAAAATAATTTTGATAACTTCTTTAGTTATTATGACAAGTTTAGCAGCTTTATTGAAGTATAAGTGATATATGGCAAACTGCACATATTTAAAGTTCATGCTTTGGTAAGTTTATAACTTATAACCGTTATTAAAACATGACACTGAACATATTCATCATCCCTAAAAGTTTCTTCCTACCTCTTGGTAATCCTCCCCTTTCACTCCACCACAGGCTAAACCTCTGATGTGCTCTCTACTGCTGTAGTTTGCATTTTCTGGTGTCTTCTATAAATGGAATCATAAAATATGTACTCATTTTTGACTGGCTTCTTCTACTCAGAATATTTATTCTGAGATTCATGCATGTCTGCTATTTTATCAACAGTTCAATGTTTTTTATTGCTAAAAAAAAATTCCATTGCATAGAGACATACCATATTTGTTTCTGCATTCCTCTGTTGATAAACATTTGGGTGTTTCCAGTTTTTAGCTATTACAAATAAAGCTTCTATAAATATTCACATATAAGTCACTGTATGGGAATATGCTTTTTTTTCCCTCTTAGATAAAACAGTAGACTCACTAGATCACATGGTGTGAAACTTTTAAGAAGTCATCAATCTTTCAAAGTGGTTGTAACATGTTACATTTCCATCAGCAGTGTATAAGAGTCCTAACTTACACATCCTTCACCATACTTAATGTCGTCTTTGTAATCTCAGCTATTACATGTGTAGAAATAACTCATATGGTTTTAATTTACCTTCCCCTAATAACTAATTATGTTGAGTATCTTTTGATACAGTTAACTGACATTAACTGAGAAAATATCTGTTCAAATATTTTCTCTATTTTTAGAAATAACATTGTTGGGCACCTGGGTGGCTCAGTCAGTTAAGCATCAGCCTTCAGCTCAGGTCATGATCCTAGGATCCTGGGATTGAGTCCTGAATCAGGCTCCCTGCTCAGAGGGGAGTCTGCTTCTCCCTCTAACCACTACCCCCCCTCCCCTGGCTCATGCTCACTCTCAAATAAAATCTTAAAAAAAAAAAAAAAAAAAAAGGAAATACATATTTCCTTTAAAAAAATATTGTTTTCTTATAATTGAATTTTGGCAATTCTTTATATCGTTTGAATGCAAAAGTCCTTTAGCCGGGGTGCCTGGGTGGCTCAGTCAGTTAGGCAGCCAACTCTTGATTTTGGCTCACATCCTGATGTTAGGGTTGTGAGATCAAGCTCCACATCAGGCCCCACACTCAGCAAGGAGTCTGCTTGAGATCCTCTCTCTCTTCCTCTGCCCCTCCCTCTGCTTATGTGCTCTTTCTCTCTCTAAAATAAATAAATAAATCTTAAAAAAAAAAGCCTTTTAGCAGCTATATTCTGAATAAAAGCTGCTAACTGTATAGATGCTTTGCAAAGTATTTTCTCCTAGTTTGTGTCTAGTCTTTTCATTATGTGTTTTCTGAAGTTTTAAAACTTTACTTAAGCCTAATTTATCAATTTTTCTTTTATGTATTGTGTTTTTTGGTGTGATAGCTCAAAAGTCTTTGCCTAACACAAGACTATGAAGACTTTATTCTATGTTTTCTCTTCAAAGTTTTAAGTTTTAGATTTATAATCCATTTGGCATTACTTTTTGTATTTGGCTTGAAGTTCATATAAGAAGTTCATATTTTTTTTTCTTTCAGGCATATAGGTATCCAATTGTTCTAGTATCACTTGTTGAAAACACTATCCCTTCTTCACTGAATTGTCTTTTCACCTTTATCAAAAATTAGGTATTGGGGCTGCCTGGGTGGATCAGTGGGTTAAGTCTCTGCCTTCAGCTCAGGTCATGATCTCAGGGTCCTGGGATCAAGTCCCACATCGGGCTCTCTGCTAGGCAGGGAGCCTGCTTCCTCCTCTCTCTCTCTCTCTCTCTCTCTCTCGGGCTCTCTGCTAGGCAGGAAGCCTGCTTCCTCCTCTCTCTCTTTCTCTCTCTCTACTTGTGATCTCTCTCTGTCAAATAAATAAAATCTTAAAAAAAAATTAGGTATCAATATATGTAACAGTCTACTTCTGTACTTTCCATTCTGTTCCAATAAGTTGTCTATCTTGTAACCAATACACTTCTTAAATCCTGAAGCTTTATTTATTTTTTAAAAATATTTTATTTATTTATTTGAGAGAGAGGAAGAGGGAGAGAGCATAAGCAGGCGGAGCAGCAGGAGAGAGAGAGAAGCAGGCGCCCTACTGAGCAGGAACCTGATGCCAGAGCTTGATCCCAGGACCCCAGGATCATAACCTGAGCCAAAGGCAGATGCTTAACCGACTGAGACACCCAGGTGCCCCTTAAATCCTGAAGCTTTATAGGAAGACTTGTTATCGTGCAGTTTTAGCCTTTCACTTTGATCTCCTTTTTCAAAGTTATCTGACTGTTCTAGGCTCTTGCACTTGCATATAAATTTTATATCCACTTGTCAAAAAACAAAACAAAACAAAAAAACCTGCTAAGGACATGTTGGTTCTACTAGTGAATTTTAAGAACTGTAATTTTAATATTGAGACTACTAATCCATGAACAAAAAAAATTAAAAAAAAAATTTTTTTTATTTATTTGACAGATACAGCAAGAGAGGAAACACAAGCAGGGGGAGTGGGACAGGGAGAAAGAGGCTTCCCGCTGAGCAGGGACCCCCCCCCCAATATGGAGCTTGATCCCAGGACCCTGGGATTATGATCTGAGCCAAAGGCAGTCGCTTAATGACTGAGCCACCCAGGCGCCCCCAAAATTTCTGTTTTTATTTATTCAGGTAGTCCCTGAATTTCACTTATCAATATCTTATAATTATCAGTTCAGTCTTTTGATATCTTTTGCCAGATATATGCCTATATATTTAATATTTTTGATGCTACTGCAAATGTCATTTTTAATTTAAATTTTTATTGAGATAGCTATGGTTCATGTGTAGTTTTAAGAAATTAATAGATTCCAGCTTGAGAGAAATACGGCAACAGAGTAGAAGGACTCTAGGTTCCTCTTGTTCCATAAACACAACTAGGTAACTATCAGATTATCCTAAATACCCCAGGAATAGACTAGAAGACTGAAAGAACAAACTCCACAGCTAAAGGGAGAGAAGAGGCCACACTGATAAAGGTAGGAAGTGTGGAGACCTGGCTTAGTGGAGAATGGATTGTGGGTGCTGTAGAGAGGAGGCAGTTGCAGTCATGGAGAAGGATGAGGGAGAGAGGAGCACACAGAGGAATTCAAAAGGGAATGTTTCTCCAAAAATGATGGGTTGTAAAATGAGAGGACCTGAATTTCATGACTTCTTGCAATAAGTGGGGCTAGAGTTCTGTGGGCTTGGCTAGAATAGAGTTTGGAGGGTAATGCCCTGCTCCTGGACAGAAGGCAGACAAAAAACCCAGGGGTAGGTTGTGTGGAAACAGCTATCTGAAGAATGTCTGGGACACATCAGGGTCACATTATTTGCTCTTCTCTGAGGACATCCCTGAGAGGCAGCATTCACAGTGACACTTTTCCTAGAACAAAGGAGCTAGTCAGTGCCAGTTAACTCCCCCACCCATCAGCATAAATACAGACCCAGCACTGCATCCACATTGGCTGCCTTACTTGCTAACACCAAGCCCCACTCCCTTGCACTCCAGAAGGACCACCCTTCTCAGTCAAGCTTCTGTCAGTCCCAGCATAGCAGGCCCTTCCTCCGGAAAATCAGCACAAACCCTGCCCATAGTTCTGAGGGCCTCAGTTCCAGATGAAGCAGTGTCAGGTCACATTTCACAAACAGCCCAGAGCATAGCTAGTTAAAATTTGCCACATCTACATTAGGGATGAAACATGGCCTCCAGCAAAGAAGAAGAGTCTTGTGGACAACTGGCTTAAAGGACAGAGTAACCAGAATACAACAGTGGACCACATGCAGAACACACTCGAGACGTGCCCTGGAAGTGCCAGGCCCTGGGCACTACATAACTTCTTCTTCATTAGGCCATTACTTTCAGGTATAGGAGACATAACTGGCTTTTCTAACACAGAGAAGCAGGAGACAAAATGAGAAGACAGAGAAAATTACCCAAAGTGAAGGAACAAGATAAGGTCATGGCCAGAGATCAAAGTTAAACAGATATAAGTAACGTGCCTGATGGAGAATTTAAAGCAATGATCATAAGGATACTCATTGGACTTGAGAAAAGACTGGAAGATCAGTGAGACCCCTAGCACAGAGATAAAGGAATTAAAAAAGAATCAATCAGAGATGAAGAATACAATAAACAGGATCAGAAACAGGCTTGATGCAATGGACAGAAGGCTGAAAGAAGC